TGGTCGGCGGGGCCGGCGGTTCGTGGCGGACGGGCCTCCGTGGGAGAGCGCGTGGAACGGCCTCGCTCCTCTAAGGGGCGCCCGCGCCGCAGTTCTGCACGGTTTGTGGCAAAAACCCCCAAAACAAACCCGCGGTGCTCGCTCCACGTGCGCGAATACGCGCAGGCTGCCTAGTCACCTGTCGTGTACGTTAGCTGTCCCGCCTTACGCGAGTTCTGCGCGGTTGACTTGAAGAAATTGACCGTAGTTACAGAAAAAGTTGGTAACACCTTTTGCCGTTCTGTTACGGCTCAGTAAACAATACGTCTCGAACAGCCTTTTGGCTTTTGAATTTTAACATGTTGGCAAGAGACTTCACCCCCTAGCGTCAAATTGGTAGTGTCATTAATGTGAGTTATTTTAAGGCCATTTAAAATTCTTCTGGCTTATCACCATACCGCATATCAAAGAACATTTTTAACAGACATTTTATAGGTGTATTTGAACTTTTAGGGGCTTCTCCTTCAATTAAAATTTTGGTTACCTGGATTATTAGAAAAAAAACCACCTTTAGAAATCTGAATTGTACATTGTTTGCTGTTTAGATTTGGCCCCGACGTAGCTGTCTGCAAAGTATTGCTGCGTGCCTTCACACTGTCCTTCTGCTGACTCTCTTGTGTATCTGCATCTGGGCTAAGCACTTATGCCACAGGCACTGCAAGAGAGAATTCATTTTCTTTCATGGTATTAACTGGAATATTTTTAATTTTTATGAAGCTTCTGTTTATCACATCCTTTTAAAAGCCGATTCTTGCCAAACTTTTAAGTGCCAGTGCTAAACTGCAGAGCTTCGTGGTCTCGTAACATTTAAAGTAGGTGGTTATTATTTACTTATTATGGCTAATGGTTATTATTTATTAATACTTATAAACTCATAATAATTGAGAACTAGTTTCTAGTTCGTCCCCCTTTCTTCTCTGCCACTCTCCCGTACTGTCCTCAGAAAGCTCTCCCTGTCCCCCCAGATGTGTTTCTGCACTGGGATTAGAAAGACCAGTTGATGTTACGAACTGGAATTAATTCTTGGTTTTCCTGTTGGTGGCTGGGGTAAATGTGAGCAGCTCTTCCTCTGAAGGTGGCCGACTTGATCCCTGAGGGTCAGGGTGTCGTTCCCAAGTGACATCAGTCCCGTGACCTGTCATGAATAGCCAGGGTTGCAGCGGGCTGGTGGTGCTGGCTGCGCGGAGCAGGGCTGTCACCTGTAAACCGTCTCCTCTCTCCCCCTAGCAATCTGCGCATCGGGCTGGTCTCAGGAGTTTCATCCGCTACGGCTGGCGCTGGAGCTGGAGAGTAGCCACTTTTGTGACAATATTCAAGTAAGTGTTTCCCGGTGGTAGTGGGAGAAGAGCTGGCTGATGCTTAAGCACTAGCAGCAAGGAGCCCTTTGTGCCAGCAGCGCTCACAGCTCCCTGAGAGACTGCTGGTGATTGATTGAGGCTCAAAGTGTTGTGTTAATAGCGAGTCTGATGATTGATAAGACGTGAACCTGAAGAGGATGTAACCTTTTATAATTATCCCAGAATTCAAAACTTCTAATGAACCAACACAAAAACTGAAACTGGAAAAGCCCTGTTCCTTATGTCTAATCCATGCCGTTACTGCCTTGAATACTGTTCTTCCCTGTACTTGATGGCTTCTTTCTGCTTTTGCTTCATCTCTTTTTTTGTGTTTTTCTCTGGGAGAGTGTTACAGTGTGTTGGCTGTTTCTGGAAGAGCTTTCTATCCCACGCTAATTTTTCTCCTTTTTCTTAGGTCTCATTACTCCTAGGTTGTATACACTAGCATTAGTCACAATTCTTTGTTCTTGTCCTCAAATACTTGCAGATGGTCATCTTGATATTAAGCAGTCACTGAACGTCAGACCTACCAGTTGTACGTACCTATTCAGGCCTTCACATTTTTCCTACATGCACCACCAACGCAGAGATACTGTTCCGCTTCCCTGATTTTCTCCCTCAGATGTGTCAGTGCATTTCTGACAATATAGCATCAAACTAAGCAGGCTCTTCCAAATAAAGCCCTTTTAAACTAGGAGTGTCTCCTTCCCTAACATTCAAAATGGCAAATTTATATGTAAATAGACCTGCATTGACGATATCTGCAGGTCTGTTCTGTTTAAATTCCCCTTCTGCTTTTAAGATACCAGCAATATTGACTAGCATTGTTTTGTATTTCCATCTCCCTCATTTTTTTGTTCCTTTCTGAATTTCTTCCTCGCTCCTTTTGCTTTAGTGTCTGTTCTTAGGTTTAGTTAGCGAATGGTTTGCTTTCTCTCCTGGAACTTTTGATTTCTTTAGCTTTTCCTGGGCTTGACGTGTAACCGCGTCATCTTCCACCAGGTGTCTCCCCTGAGGTCTGATCGTTGCCCTTCTCCGCTACCCCTTTGTAAAAAGCTTTGAACGAAGATACTCGTCACTCCGCGTTAATTGTTTCTGTAGAGTCCAAGTTGAAGATTTCGTCCTGCGGTTGTGCGAATTTTGAGTTTCGCAGTTTAAAACCAAATTGTTTCGTTTTACCTTGTACAAAGGCTAGGATGACGTTATGGTGTTGGGAAAGAGGAAGATTGCTGTTGACTTGTAGATGTCATGCAGGAGGCTTGCTGAAGTGATGGGGAGGATGTGGCTGCTGAACTGAGACAGAGAGTGTTTTGGGGCTTTGCTGATGTTTTTGGAGGAGATGGCATACCTACCCTGGTGGGAAATCTCATCCTGCAAGAGTAGGTGACCCTGCTGACGTCATGAGTGTGACTTAGCTCTAGTGGTGGGGACTGTCTTCAGGCAAGAGCTTACCGACACCTGGGTTCTGCTTCTGGGGGTAAGGTCCTACATCGGGACTGGCTGACTGACAGGACCTTTTCATTGCTAAATTCCTTCTATCCTTGAATATACAATGGAAAAAAATATCTTTGATTAAAAAAAGAATATCCCAGATCCAGGCTGGGAATCCTGGTATTCACTGGCCTCTGGCTGTGCACCTGCCTGTCACAGAAATCGAGGCACTTGTGGCTGGCGTGTGTGCGCTCTGGACAGATGGGCAACAAGGCGTTTAGAGGCAACCTGAGGGTTGGCTTAATGAAATCCGGCTTTATTTCAGGCTGTGTTTTGCTATCTGTCTTCTTCCATGTCCAACTGCTGACTTCTTCTGTGCCTTAACTTTGCAGCATGGCGAGCACTGGTCTGTCTGTGTACCGCAATAAAAGCACCATCAGTAATTATGCTTCAGCAGGAGGTAAGACTGCTTGTGTATTTTTCTCTTTATGAGCAAGGGTTGTAAGCGGAAAAGCATAAGCAGAAATCCGTATCTCTTGGATTTGAGCAGGTCTTTAGCTTCTGTGCTCCTGGGTTTTGTTTCCTGTTCTACTGACTGCCGTTGTGACTTTGCTCTGTTGTTTAACTGCTGGGTGCCTTTATTTGTAACAGAGAGATATCGATGCACTACTGAAACTTCAAAATACTTGCTGGAGTTTTTTGGGTGAAAAATGCTTGTGTCGGGTAAAGGCAACACTTGGTGCATAACCTGCTCTCATAACTACTTATTCAGCAAGGAAAGCATTTCTTGTTTCTGCTCTTTAGAACAGTTCAGTGCACTGTTTATTGCCCTTACAGTTGAATACCTGTTTTAC